GCAGATCAGGGGGTGTCTTATCTCCTCATCACCCCTTCGTATTCACTAGTTTCTTGCGTCAAGTTCCATGTCATGCCATATTGTGTTCTGTATTAGTAGATAGGAGATGCAGGTATTTGCTTAGTTTCTTGGGTAAAGGTAAAGCATTTAAGGGCTTTTTTTTTTGTTTAAGAAAGGGTTGCTTTAACCACTTCAATACTGGGCTCTTTTACCCCTTTCCTGCCCAGGCCAATTTTCAGCTTTTAGAGCTCTCGCACTTTGAATGACAATTGTGTGGTCATGCAACACTGTACCCGAACAAAACTTTTTTTTATCATTTTTTTTTTTTTTTGAGACAGAGCTTTCTTTTGGTGGTGTTTAACCATTTCAATACCGGGCGATTTTACACCTTCCTGCCCAGGCCATTTTTCACGTTTCAGCGCTCTCACACTTTGAATGACAATTGCACGGTCATACAACATTGTACCCAAACTAAAATTTTATCATTTTTCTTCACACAACTAGAGCTTTCTTTTGGTGGTATTTAATCACCACTGGGGTTTTTATTTTTTGCTAAATTAACAAAAAAAGACCAAACATTTTGAAAAAAAAAACACGTTTTTCTTTGTTTCTGTTATAAAAGTTTGCAAATAAATAATTGTTCTTCATAAATTTAGGCCGAGATGTATTCTGCTACATGTCTTTGGTGAAAATAACCCAAATTAGGATGTATTATTTAGTTTGTAGGAAAGTTATAGAGTTCACAAACTATGGTATAGATCTGAATATTGATCAATCCTGAAGTACTGACAGCCAATCTAATTTCTTGAGGTCTAAGAATGTCAGAACAGTACAGATATCCCCCAAATGACCCCTTTTTGCAGAGTAGACAGTCGGACATACTTCATAAGAGGAATGGCGAGTTTTTTGAAGTTGTATTTTTTTGTCATAATTTTTCGGAAAATGAAAAAATTAAAAAAATTATTTTCACTATTTTTTTTTTACATACTGTCACCAGTGCAGTACAGCGTCATCATATAACTGGCATGGCGGTGAACAGCGACACTGACTGGTGACAGTATGAAAAAAAAAAAAATATATATATATTTTTTTTTTTTATTACATTTTTTTTATTTTTTTAAGATTTTTTTTTTATATTTTACTATGACCAAAGTAGTACAATGTTACCATAGTAACATTGTACTACTTTGGGGAAGTGATCAGTATTTTTTTTTTTTTTTTTTTTACACAATTTGCTTATAGCAAAGAATTACTTTGCTATAAGCAAGCATTTACCTAAATGAAATCGATTCATTCTGGTTTTTTTTTTTTTTTTTTTTTTTTTTTTTGTGCTTAGCTGTGATTTGGCCACAGCTAATCACATGACATGTGACCTTCTGTGACCATTCACAGCTAGGCACTAGTATACAATGGATGGCATGAATGAAGCCATCCATTGTATACAACTGTCATGTGACCTGCTGTGATTGGTCACAGCAGGTCACATGGTACCGGCAACGGGGGCCGGTACTCAGATCTGTCATCGGCCGTGTCCGAGGTACACGGCCGGTGACAGAACGCGCAAACTGCGCATGTGGGGAGCACGCCAAATGGCGTGCACCCGGAAAGCTGATGCATTTTTGCCGCCGCCAAACGGCTATAGGCCGGGCGGCTAATGGTTAATTACCACTGGGTAAAATTTTGCAAATAAGTAATTTTTCTCCTTCACTGATGGTTGGCACTGTTGGGGCTGCACTGATCAGTGCCCTGACTAGCAGTGTAGATGTCCCCTGTTAGACTTGCCGGTTACCAGCTCTACTCTCCTCACACTGTGACAGCGCTGAGGGAAAGGAAAAGCCGATAACTGGCAAGTGTGTTTTAAACTGTGATCAGCTGTCGTTGGATACAGCTGATCACATAGTAAATGGCCACTGCGATTGGCCCTTTACTGCAGTGTGTGGTCACATGAGGAATTTCCCTGAGGTGGGGAAGTAGGTCTAGACCAGGGGTAGGCATCCTTTTGAGCATTGTGTGCCCAAAAATGTTTTCAAAGAAATTGAGAATGCCAGTTATATAAAAAAAAAAAGTCCACTTTACAACTTTATCATGAATAGGAATTTCTATACAGTAAATGCTGTAAACTATTTGAATAACAGGGGTGTGGAAATATTTGCAAAAACTACTTGTCCAAGGGACTAAATCGGTGCCCCAATCTACTTGTCCCTCATGACAATCTACTTGTCCAGATAAAAAATTTTTTTTTAACCAAAACCATATTTAACCATTTGCCTACTGGGCACTTATACCCCCTTCCTGCCCAAGCCAATTTTCAGCATTCAGCACTGTCGCACTTTGAATGACAATTGCGCGGTCATGCAACACTGTACCCATATGATATTTTTATCATTTTTTCACACAAAGCTTTCTTTTGGTGGTATTTACTCGCTGATGGGTGTTTTTATTTTTTGCGCTATAAACAAAAAAGAGCAAAAAATGTGAGAGAAAAAAAACAGTTTTTCTTTGTTTCTATTATGAAGTTTTGTAAAAAAGGTAATTTTTCTCCTTCACTGATGTGCATTGATGAGGCTGGCACTGATAGGCGGGCACTGATATGCAACAATGATGGGCACTGATAGGCTGGCACGATGAGGCGGCACTGATGCTGCTGCACTGATATGCAACAATGATGGGCATTGATGGGCATCACTGACTGGCGGTAATGCTGGGCACTGGTGGGGTGGCACTGATGGGCAAAGATGAGTGGCACTACTAGGAACTGCTGGGGACTTGTGGGTGGCACTGCTGGGCACTGATCATCAGTGCCCTGATGATCGGTGCCGATCTGTCCTCTGACAATTGTCGGTTATCGACAGTACTTTCCTTACTCTGTGACAGCGTGAGGAATGTGCAACCGATAACCGGCAACTGCATTTATTCGGTGATCTTCTGTGTCATTTGACACAGCTGATCACGTGGTAAAAGGCTGCTGTGATTGGCCTTTTACCACATCATGTGATCAGCTGTGTCCGTAGCAAATATCTTTTCTGCGTTCACTCCAATTCCTGCAACTTCACACCCCATTCTCCAGCGACCATTCCTGTATCTTCAGGCTTTAGACTAGCCCCAATTCTTGAACCCCCAGAACTCTGTTCACTATCACACCTCAGATCAGCTCTAATTTCTGCACCTTCACACCTCATGTCAGTCCAAATTTCTGCACCTCCAGACCTCACTTCACCCCTATTCCTGCATTTTTACAACCCAGATCAGCCCCAATTCCTGTTCCTTTAGGCCTGAGATCAGTTGCTTTTTCCTACCTCACATCACCCAAATTCCTGCACCCTTACAGCTCATATCACCCAAATTACTGCACCTTTACACTTCAGCTCACCCCAAATCCTGCACTTTCATACCTCAGATCACCTCAATGCCTCCACCTCCAGACATCAGATCAACCCCAATTCCTTCACCTCCAAGCCTCATATCAGCCCCAATTCCTGCACCTTCTGGCATAAATGGACCTAGTCATTTCCACATAGATGCTCTAGAATGAACACCAGCCAGTGCTCCAGTCAAGACAGCACCACCTGTACCATGCATAGAATTGAGTCCCTAAACCTGCAGTTCCTAATTTTTTTTCTAAAGTGGTAGTTACCTATATCTATTCTGAAGTTGTAGTTCCCAATAGCAGTTCTAAGGTAGTAGTTACCGAACCTTGTTTTAAAGTAGTAGTTCTTTCTAGTTGGGCGTTGCAGTGAATGGCAGAGGCAGGAATCTGCTGATTCCTGCTGCTGTTTTGGCACCTGTTAACTGCTAGCTGCAGCCGCCAAGCCTGTACAGTAAACTTTTATGACAAGTTGCCGGCGGGCATAGCTATTCCTGGCTTGTTCACACAACCAGTGATTACCTATGGTGATTGCTGCTGAATGCACACAAAGTGTGTTTTCAGCAGCCATCACCGCAGGTAATCACTGGCTGTGAACAGTTGTGAATAGCTGCAGCACCCAGTAACCTGTCATTATAGTGTACTGTATGGGCTTGGTGGCTGTAGCTAACTGCTCACTGTTGTCAAAAACGGCTAAATGCCCGTGTGAATGTAGCCTAAATTAGTAATTCCCATTGGCTTTAATTTTATAAAAGCCTTACTGCTTGGATCTTGAAGAAGGGGACATTCTCCGAAAGCTTGTCCTCAAAATTTGTATTTTTGTGCAAATAAAAAAAGTATCACGGACAGTACTCAATTGTTTCTGTCGCAAATGCACTAATACGACTACAATCACCTCAAGCAAAATAAAAGCCTTTTAAAACCCTTCTCCCTCCACATTAAATCCTTATTTGCAATAAGTTACTCATAAAAGATTGTTGTTTAAGAGGTTAATAGCCATTTGAAGATAAACCTCTGGCTATATCCCCTCCAAGCTGAGCCAGGCGCATGCATGCTGAGGAGAGAAATGTTCAGAGGGAGGGCAGGTACACCAACAGTAAAGCCTTGGCCATGAGCCTGCTCAGGCTAAATGAGTGCTGTATCATAGAGGAGAAAAATACTGAATATAACTGCCCTTTCAAAATGAGAATGAGCAGCCTGGGGAATCCAACTCAATACGGCTTCAGCCTGGAAAGAGCAACGCAAGAACAAATACCAGCGGGATTAGAGGTGGGTCTCCTAGGACTCCCCTTGGGTGCCATCCTTGATGGTGTCACGTGCCACCTCTGGCACCAGTGCTGGGATTGCCTTCCCCTGGTCTAGACCATAGTGTCAAGTAGTAGTTTAAATGAAAGGTGAGAAATGTAGCTTGTTATACATTTACATTGTTTTCTAAAACTATGACTGCAAGGTAAGACTAACAACTTATTTGGTTCAGTACATTTTTGAGTTTACAACCGTGTATTATAGTATAGGCATTAAGCTCCAAAACCGTAAAGTACAATAACATGAGAGAGATATGCATCTTCTCTATTCTAACTTGAACAGCCATTCTTGAATTCTATTTATTGGATTTAACTATTTTGCATATTTACAGGTCAAATGGAGGAGTCTTCACGAACACAGCTGGCAGCACAAGCCCCAGATAATAATTTTAGGGTAAGGCAAGCCTAACTGCAGACATCTATATGTATGCACGCTTTTCTTTCTTTTTTTTTTTTTTTTTTAAACTGGGATAAACACCACACCACAATTTCAGCACTTGCAATACTGATAACTTGGAAAGTCTAGAGATGTTTGTGGTCATCAGAGGAGCATAATTTGCGGATCAACATCTTGGAGTTTTGGGCTATTCAGCTGGCTCTTCTACAATGGTCTTTCCAACCTTTGGGGTATCCCTCTCAGGATTTGGTTCAAACAATGTCACAAGTGACATACATCATTCATAAAGGAGAGATCAGATGTTCCACTGCTCAGGAAGAAGCAGTCTTGGTCTTGTCTTGGACAGAGCTTCGTGGTCCTCTCACTATGCACATTCCTTCCTGGCATGCAAAACTAGTGGGCAGACTTTCTCTGCCATCATCAGCTGAACGGTGGTGGGGTACTGGGCCCTTCTAGAGTTGTTGCCAGAGATTTATCTGTGGTGGGGGATACCGGATGTGAATTTCTTGGCCTTCAGATTCAACTACAAGCTGGACAGGTTTGTGCCCTGGAAAAGGGATTCTTAACAATTGCTTTGAATGCACTGGTGGCTTGTTGGGATCAATCTTTCCCTACCATCCTCAAGGAAAGAAAGTCAAACTCCAGGAAAATGTGCCATCTTGCACGGAAGGTTTATTTCACCTTGTGTGTGGCTGGTGAGTTTCATCACCAACAATAAGTCATGGAGCACATTTTGGCATTTCTTCATTCTTGTGTGGAGATATCTCTGACTCCGATAGCATCAAGGGGCAGATCTCGGTCTTGGCCATTCTTTTTCTAAGACCTGTTGTCTCATTCCTTGGTAAAAAAACTTTGTGCATGACATCTCAAGGATTTTTCCACCTCTGTGCCCTCCTCTTTGTCTCCTTGGGTCTATAATTTGGTCTTGACTGTTTTGCAGCCCTCTCCTTTTGAGCTTCTCTGAGGGATTCCCTCGTCGCTCCTTACACACAAGCTTGTCTTTATGTTTTTCATTACTTCGGCTCGCAGGATATCTGAGTTGGCTGCACTCTCCTGCAAAGATATTTTCCTGGTTCATCACCAGGATAAGGTGGTCTCTGTCTTTTTTTTTTACTTAAAGTGGAACTTTAGTCACATAATTAAATTGCTAGATAACTTCAGGCTGGCACCTTTGGTAGGTCTATGTTAAACATTAACCCCTTGGCGCTGATGTCATACAAATATGCAGCCTCACGGAACTGGGCTTTTTCCTGTGGGGCCACATATTTGTGTACCTGTCCTTGTGCAGGGAAAGCGCCGCACGGCACACTCCCAGCACAAAGACCAGAGTGTCACTGGGAGCCCCGGGTCCTGTTCTAATGATTGTGACTCGGAATTCCCAATTCCAGGTCATATGATCTCTGCGAAAGTCTCTGATTGGCTATCGCAGTGATCAGTTACTGAAGCCTGGCCCTTGTTTTTTTTTTTTTTCTCTCTGAATGGAGGAGACACATTGTATCTCTCTCCCCTTGCAGAGAGGAAAAAAAAAACTCTGCGTAAATAAATAAATATAAAAAAAATATAGAAAAATGCCTAGATCAAGGTTTGATCTAGTTCAGGACCTGTGTTAGTGTTTTGGTCACGAACAGGGTCAAAGGTCAGGATTTGTTTTGTGTTTGTAATTCTTTAAAATTGGTATCAGTGTATTTGAGGTAGGACAAAAAAAAAAAAAACATAATGCGCACTATTGTTTCTGGGCTGTACTACAGGTACAAACAACAAATAACATACACATATATGGTATCGCTCAATCGTCAGGAGCTGGAGAATTTATTTTGGGTTGTTGGTGGAAGAAACACACAGCTAAATTAAAAAAATATATATTTGTTTTTACTATTTTGGGCCTATTTTCCTTTGATTAATATGAAAACATCAGGAGATATCCATTACCATTTAACACCGAGTGAAAGCCCAATTTTTCCTGGAAAAAAACAAGGTATAATTTACCTGATGTACAAAGTAGTTGTGATGATATGTATGGTTTTACTAACACATTTCAAAGTTGGAACATTTTCCGTAGGCATTAAGATTTGTTTTACCCTTCGGTGTGAAGGGGTTAAAAATAAGTCCCTGTACTGTTTAAAATCCAATAATACTTGTCACCCTGCTCTGCACATGCTCAGTTGATCTGTTTTTTTTTTTTTTTGCACTGTGTTTAAAATGTAGAGGCAGATCTGCTGACATCCTAAAGATTTACATTTGCTCAGGGGCTGTAGGCTTCAGCAAAATGGCATCCTTCAGCAAGAAGAGAGAGGAACAAGGCTGGAAGCAATTTACAGCACACCAATTTTGCTATACATTTTATATTAGTAAATATACTGTTTCTTGCTAAAGAACATAATTTTTTTTATCAAGTTACTATGGGTAAAGTTCCTCTTTTTAGGTGGGTTCTTTGTTTCACCTGAATTCAGGACATTATGTTTTAATTTTTCTAAACATTTTGAAGAGCAGATGTTGCAAACTTTAGATGTTCGAGCTGTTCAAATTTGTCGGACGAGCCTTACATGTATATGTTGGCAGGATTCCTTAAAGAGACATCCATTGTAAAATCCTTGAAACCTATGGTGTACTTCGCCTAACAATGTTTTTCATAAATACACATAAAAATACATTTTCATATATACAACCATGTTATACAGAAAATTTCTCTCCACATGTGTTTCACAGCATATCATTTTGAGCCCACCTTCCTTAATACAATTTGACTCCTTAATACAAATTAGGATCTTGTCAGGGGGTGTAGAACAATATGTCCCAACGCAATTTGTAGGTCACCAACCTCACCAGGGGCCTGAGGACCACCGATTACACCTAACCACCTCCTGATAGGAGGACCAACAGATATTAACAGTCAACCAAATTTTGGTGAACTTCCCTTCCAAGGATAAAGATAAAACCCCAATTTCGGTACTAATGGAACAGCCTTCCCCTATGATTCCCAGTTTGCCCTACTAATTATCTAAACTGAACGAAACCTCTCTGACTTCAAAATCCCTAATATGTAAGAGGCTGCCAGGTAGAACAGAGTCTTCCTCCAATATCTTCATTGAGATGGAAGGTGGTTTATTTCTTCAACCACAATGAGGATATTGCCCTGCCTCTCCGCTGTTCTACTGCAGAACATGCCAAGAAGATTTTTCCTGCACTACTTTTTTTTTTCGGAGCTCTCATTTTCTACTTGGCAACCATGGCTTCTATTTGGACAACTGGTTTCCCTTTTGTCCTGTTGGTGTCTTATGGACCTTCCAACAAAAAGCATCTGTATCTCAGATTTGCAAGGCCAATCAATCCTCTGTTCACACGTTCTCTAGGTTTTACCAGGTGGATGGTCAGGCCTCAGCTGATGAGAGCTTCGCCTGCAAGATGCTTCAAGCTGTCATCTGAGCATTTTTATGATTCCTTAACCCCTATTTTTTTGTGGGCCTGTGGCAGTTTCTAATTGCTATGTTGTGTTGTTGCCCACCCCTCACTCCTTACTGAAGGAATTTACAGGTAAGTAAAAAAAAAAAAAAAAAATTTCCCTTTTTTTGTTTTTTGTTTTTTTTTCTTTTGCAGTTTATAGCTTGTTTTATCAGATTTTAAAAAAAGTTAAATCTCAGCAAGCCATTTTTGTTAATAAAAAACATTTAAGCAATGTGTTTTTTTTTTTTTTTTAAATTCCTCTTTGCAGGAATCTAGTTACAACTATAGCAGCAAATCTCCAATGGGTGAAAATCATGGCAATTCATATACATCAGGGGTAAGGATAAAGGAGGAACCGATGGATGAAGATTATGAACGGGCCTTGGCACCTGCTACCACCGATGTGGAGAAAGTCAAAGAGGAGCCAGATAACTCTGAGGTAAAAATATATAGCACCTATATCTAAAATCTTCTATTCCTGTTTTACATGTATACATGTACCCTTACCACTGTCAACTGCATACAACCACCACCGAAATAATGAGAGCATATCACTTTTATTACGAATCTACCTTGTCTTGACTGTTCTGGTATTCGTTCTGTTTGATTTTGTTTCTAGCTGGCAGAAATTGGTATGCATTTGCAAAATATTTAAAGAAACTCCAGGAATAAAATTAATTTAAACACATACTTTGTACCAGCTTGGCTCAAACAAATAATTCAGATGCCTACTCTGTGATATCATTGGCTCCTCCTCCCCTAGGTCAGTTAGAGAACACCTTGTATAAATTGAAAAACTACAAAGCTTCTCCTGAGTGGAAGTTGCATGAGCGCACTTTAAAAAAGACAACACTTACTACTGCATAGGCTACCCCAGCTTCAGCACTGGCCACATGAAGGTTGCATCGGGATAATTTGGGTGAAGTTGGGCCAGAGTAAGTCTTTAAACCAGTGGTCTTCAAACTGCGGCCCGGGGAACGGATGTGGCCCTTTGTTTGCTTTTATCCAGGCCTTGGGGCACTAGTCCTCCTACAGACATCAACAATGGGGCATAATTCATGTCACTGATTCCAGCAAAAAAGGCACAATTCCTATCAAAGACCCCAACAGTGGGCCACTATTCCGCCCACTGACACCAATGGCAGGCACTCTTCTTCCCAATGGCACCAACGATGGGCCACTATTCCTTCCCTTAATACCAACAATGGGGCAATATTCCTCCCACTGATACCCATATTGGAGCACTATTCCTCATACCAGTGACGGGGCTGTATTTCCCCCGCTGATACCAATGATGGGGCACTATTCCTTCCTCTGATACCAGTGATTGGGCACTACCAATTCACTATTCCTCGCTGATTCCTCCCACTGATACCAATGATGGGGCACTATTCCTCCCGCTGATACCAATGATGGGGCACTATTCCTCCCGATGATACCAATGATGGGGCACTATTCCTCCCGCTGATACCAATGATGGGGAATTGTTTACTTCCATTCACACCAGGGCATTTTCTACTCTCATTGGCCACAGTCCGGCCCTTTTTTGAAATTTTAGGATAGTAAACTGGCTCTTTGCTCAGAAACTTTGGAGACCCCTGCTTTAACCGCTTCCCGCTTGCCATACAAGGAAATGACGGATGGGTGGTGGGTCTCTCATTCTTGGAGGACGACATATGATGTCCTCCAATTCCAACCGTGCGTGTGTGCCCCTGGGGGCGCGCAGCGTGATGATCGGTGGTGCACGGTGTCTCTGGGTAAAAAGAGTCGATGACTTTGGCTCTGTCATGTGATCAGCTGTGTCCATTCACAACTGGTCACATGTAAATAAGGAAATGCCGGTTATCGGCATTCCTCTTCTAACGAGGTGTCACGCTGATAGCTCGAGAGGAGAGCCGGTAAGTGGCATTCCTCAGAGGGGCCATCTACATTGATCATCAGAGCACTGGTGATCAGTACCCTGATGATCAGTGTAACCCCATCAGTGCCACTTTTCAGTGCCCATCAATGCCACCTGCCCGTGCCTACCAGTGCACAACAATGCCACATATCTGTGCCCATCTGAGCTGCCTTTCAGTGCCACCTATGAGTGCTGCCAATCAGTGCCGCCTATCAGTGCCCGTCACTGCTGCCTATCAGTGCCATAAATGAGTACTGCCTTTCAGTGCCTCCTCATCAGTGCAAACTATCAGTGCCCATCACTGCAGCCTCATTAGCGCACATCAGTGAAGGAAAAAAATTACTAGTATACAAAATTTTATAACCGAAACTAAGTAAAAAAAACTTTTTTTCCCAAAACTTTTCAGTTGTTTTTGGTTTGTTTAGCAAAAAAATAAAAAACCCAGTGGTGATTAAATACCACCAAAAGAAAGCTCTATCTGTCTCAAAAAAAATTATAAAAATTTCATATGGATGCAGTGTTGCATGAGCACGCAATTGTCATCCAAAGTGCGACAGCGCTGAAAGCTGAAAATTGGCCTGGGCAGGAAGGGGGTGAAGGTGCCCGGTAGACAAGTGGTTAAACTAATTTCTTTCCTGGAGATAGGTACATTGGTTCACTTACATTGAGTAATAGAATATAAAGCTGTATTGATATTGTAATAAGGATTGTAAAGGGATAAGGTGAAATGAAAGTTAAAGTAGAAAAACCTATATCTTATTTTTTGCCTTTATTCTCCACAGGAATATTCCCAGCAACCCAAAGTTTCTGATGGGGAACTGAAAATCAGTGCAGTGTTTTCAGTCAGTGGCAGCCCCCTAGGTGAGTTGTTTTTTTTTGTTTTTTTTTTTTTTTTTTTGTGGCGTAATAAGAGATGTACAATTTTTTTCCTCTAAAGCTAGTTCTCTAATAGAAGTCAAATTAGTTGTCCTGTGACATATACTGCTCTACTGTACTGTGTGTTCACCTCAGTGTATTTTGGCTTAGTTAACTTTTTTTTTTTTCTTTTTTTTTTTTTTACTCTTTAAAGCCCCTCAGCTTTCAAGTGGAATACAGACTCCACTAAGCTCTCCAGGTTTGAATAAGTCTCTTCCTGCAGTTCCTGCGGTCCCTGCAGTCCCCGCAGTCCCCTGCAGTCCCCACAACCTCTGTCAGGGTCTCCTGTTCAGGCTGCAAAAAGGTTCTTCAAAAAGGACAGACAGCATACCAACGTAAGGGATCTACACAACTTTTCTGTTCCACTCTCTGCCTTACTGGCTACAATGTGCCCCCCGCCCGACCACCCATGCCTGCTACCACCAGGAAGACATGTTCCAGCTGCTCAAAGTAAGTTGTATTTAATTTTTTTAAGGTACAGATAAGAGAAAAATCAAGCATTTTTAAACATTCCAATCTGTTCCATGCCAAACATTTGTAATGAGAATCAAATTATGTGTACCAACCAAGAGGGAACGTTGTTTATACTTATCTGCTCTCTCTCAGTATAGTTCATGTAGGTGCTGGAATAGTTTTGTAGCTTAAAAGAAAAAAAGTTGAGATTCTGAGAATTCATAACCAACTATGATAAAGAGGAGCCAAGTAGACAATGGAATCCAGGATCTAATAGAAAGAGAAAGAGGATGGAAAAGGAGAGAGGTAGCAAACAATTTAGGGGAAAAGGGGAATGTCGAGAATCGGGTGGAAAAAAAATGGTACAGGACACCAGCCTGCACCTCAGCTGATCCCCACCCTATTTTGTTTTTTTTTTTTTTTCTAAAAATTATAGTTTTACAGAAGAATTAAAATTTGACTCTGGGCTCAGATCTCAGTAGCAAAAGGTGCATTCACACACCTGCGTATGCACTTGCTCTCCGATTTAGATGCTAGAACCCCAAATTAGGGTTCCTGTGATTAGTTGCGGGAGGCAGCCTCATTCGAAAGCAACTCCTGCAGCTAAGCATGGCAACTCGTGCAGCGATCACGGAAACACAGCTCAGGACAAAGGGCGGGAGAAGGAGCTGGACAAATTAAATTTTCATATTAACCTGCAGGTGATTGGTTGCTAAGACTGACTTAGCAACCAATCACCTGCGGGTTAATTTGACCAGCTCCTCCTCCTGTCCTCCGTCCTGAGCTCTGCTGTCTTCCGCTGTGCACTGAGGATATCAGCAGCAGTGGGGTGGGGGAGGAAGAGGGACCTGTTTGCAGTATACCTGTCTCCTGCCTGTGGTCGACAGACTGTGATCGACGGGTTGCAGACCCCCGCTTTAAACCTTTTTGACTTGAATGGACACAGCCTTCTTGGCTTCACTCTGATAGTGTGGAACAGCTTTTTCCTTTTGAAAGGACCTTGGCAGAGAAATGGTCTCTACGTGTTGTGGATTCCTCTGTTTATATACCTTAACAGGCATACCCCCCTGAAGTTGAGGATATCACTGTCTTTAAGGACTTCACTGACAGACAGTTGGAATCTCTGTTTAAGTCTTGGTTTCAGTTAACTGTGCTACTCCAAACCCCCTTTTTTTTTTTTTTTTTTTTTTTTTTTTGGAAGTCTGAATTGTCAAACCAACTCGCAATGGATCATATCCTTTAGGAGGGACCTATGCAACGCAAGGCAATGTTCTTGTATTTTTCATCTTTTGAATCAATTGTCTGAAGCAGTGTGGTTCAGTTGTGATGTTTCTTGGAAACATCTAAGCATCTATCTCTCATGGGAATGATGTTTGTTCAAATGCTGGCTCTGTGCATGAGATGTTGTGGACTCATTTAAGGAATACTTTATTCGTTCACCATGGGTTAAATGCAGCTACCTTTAGATGATTGGATACTGTTAAACGTGCTATGGCTGCCCAGAGAGCGCAGCACATAACCCTGCCCATTTAGTGAGACTCCAGGTTTTTCGGTATTGTCCTTAGGTGACCTAATTTCTCTGAAGAACCCTTTTAAACTATTCAGATTCTTTGACACATCTATCAAGATCTGTCTGCTTTCTGCACTGATTATTGAAAATACTGCAAGAAGAGCTATTGTCAATGAAGAGCAAGCCAAGCAAGTTTGTAGCCAAGACCTAAGGTCTTCTGGCCTTTGCAGTGATTCTTTAGACTTGAATGAAGCAGATTTATGTTTTCTCTCTGTTGAAAAGCACCCCTTGACTGCTGCGTAAGATAGAGGAGGAAAGAGTTCCAGTGATTCTTCCAGAAGAACCTCGTACATAGATACACAATAGTCTTCTGGTAGACAAGCCTTGGCCTCTTCCAAACGAACCAGACCTTCTAGCCCCTGTTCTATCTTGCCTCTCTGTCACTGGCTTAAATGACATAACTATTGAAAGTCCCACACCTTATCCAAAGCAAGAAAATCCAACTCCTCCAAGATTTACCATTGAACATGGAAGCCTTTCTTTACATTTTCATACATAATGTGCTACAGGCTGCTCAGTACAATTGAAGCCTTCCTGACTTGTTTGTTACATTGGCCTGTTTCCCAGTCCTCAACTAGACTGCTTTTGGACATCCCATGGTAAAATCTAAAGATCCTGTACTGTGCTGTATGTGACACAGGATCTTTAGTATTTAGCATTAATTACATGCAGCAAGCTTTAGGTAATTGGAGAGTGGCAAAAAAAAAAAAAACTTCTAAGACACCCTCCCACTCCAAGTTAGCCTTCTTTGCCTGCTGGTGTCCTTGGGTAATGACCCCTTCTTTCTACTGAGAGAAGCTTACTGCCTATAGGGAAGTCATACTAACAGAAGGCGCAGGGCTCAGTGTCCTGTATTGTACTCCAAGAAATGGAGTTTATTCCTTATCCTAAAATAATTTTCTAGAAGATACAGATTTAGTCAGGAAATGGGTAAAATGAGAGTATTTCTACCACCTACAGGAAAAATTGACTCTAATCAAATAAAAAAAACAAAAAAACTGGTTTTATGTTTTTTTTTTTTTTTTCCCCCAAATTTTTCAGTATTTTTTTAAATTTTTATAGCAAAACATAAAAAAAAAAACCCTGGTTGTGATTAAATACCACCAAAAGTAATCTCTATCTGTCCTAACAAAATGATAAAAATTTAATTTGGGTACAGTGTACTGAGTAATTGTAATTCAGCTCTTAAAATCTGAAAATTGGCCTGGGCAAGAACTGGGTGAAAGTGTCCATGGCTTTGTTTGATCACATTAGATTAGATGACCACCCAGAAAGTGAAACCAATGAAACAAAGGCAATCGTATTGTGCAAAACTTTAGAATTTTGATCAGGAGCGATGATTTTTTCCTATGACCAACAACTCTAAACAGACTATCATTTGACGAATTTACAGCACAGATGGAGAAAAAAAAAATCTGCCTGTTGTCCGCAATCGGCGATGTCAGCTGCCAACACATCTGCTATATTGTTTGAGGATGTAAACAAATCAACTTGTCCAGGGACATAGGAGACTTTCTAAATGGTAACGATGTTAAGCTGTAAGCTCCTATAGTAACATTGAGCAAATAGAATCGTTTTGAATGTAGAGACATTGAACCACTGAACTCGCATACAGATGACACTTTTGTCATCTTCTCCTGGGCTGGGAAAACTTTGGCTGAAAGAGTATCCAGAAGATCCAAGTGATGCGATGGAATCTGAGATGACTTGTGGCAGTTGAGAATCAAAATCTCCCAGAAGAAAAGGCCTAAAGCAGGCCATAGACTTGGAGAAAACCGGCTTTTTTTTTTTTTTTTTCTTAGAAAATCATAAAATCGGTCGTTCAGTCGGCCGACGTTACTACCATTGTAAAAAAAAAGTCGGCTGGTTTTCTTCCCGCCTACAGCCAGCAATTAATATAATAACGGTGTCCCTGCATAGAGCCCTGCTATTATATTTGGCAGAAGAAATAGATTATGCATAAGAAGAAGAAACAACATTGTATCTATTTGTACTTGGATAGAAACATCTGTATCCGAAATGGATACAAATAGATACAATGTTGCAACTTTTTCTCCAAAATCTATTTCTTCTTCTTCTCCTCCTGCAAAATCTATTTCTCCTCCTCCCTCCCTCCTTCCTCCTTCCTCCCTCCCTCCTTCCTCCTTCCTCCCTCCCTCCTTCCTCCTTCCTCCCTCCTTCTTCCTTCCTCCCTCCTTCTTCCTTCCTCTTCCTCCTTCTTCTTTGAAAATCTGCAAAAAGAACGGCCGATTTGACCATAATCCCTACTCAAACACCTATATTAAACTAAAGAAATTGGTTATGGATTCAACCAGGACTCATGGGGTTTTTTTATACATATGTAAATACTTCATAGTGTACTGACATAGATACACAGGCTGATGGTAAAAAGGTTATTCAATGAACGACTTTAATGAAAAAACATCTTTAAAAACATAAAAAAAAAAACAATAAAGCACCACAGTACACAGATCCCATACTAAACCCCTATAATTGGGGAACATAGTGAACCAAACATTGATATATGTATCATTCCAAACTCTATCAGCTCCATATTGCAGGGTAGAACCAGTGGAGTCCCCCATTATGAGAGTCAGTTCATGAATTGTAGTAACGTGCCTTTCAAAAGTGACATGCATGGTAAATGAGATGCTATGTCAACCTCTCTCATGTATTAAATGGATGACTCCGAGCGTCTTGTAATAAATTATTGCAGAGCCCAAATTGAAGCCAGTGACTGATTGTAGTCCAGAGGAGGAAACAGGTTAAACTTGAGTATAATGTGGTATAGGTTGCTGCACATCTTCACCCCCCTCTAGCACCCAAAGGGGATAAGGGTGCCGTCCCAGGGAGGATTAGAATGGACAAGACCTCCCTCATACATGAACAGTGTTAGTCTTCAAATGGCAATGATATAGACAAGTGAAGGAGCAGTCCCTTCGATATGTATGGTAATATCTTCACCCCCCCTCTAGCACCCAAAGGAATAAGGGTGCCGTCCCACGAAGGATTTGATTGAACAAGGCCTCCCTCATACATAGACCAAATTGAATCTTCCAATAGTAACTGTATGAATATATGAAAGGAGCAGTTCCCAGGAACATACTAGAGCATGGGTCCCTTTTAAGTAAAAACATTTTATGTTGACTGGCACATTTTATGTTAAGGGACACTATGACGAGCACATTTTATGTTAAGGGGCACTCTGATGGGCACATTTTATGTTAAGGGGAACTCTGATTATTATACAGTATTTATATGGCGCTAAAAGGTTTGCTCAGCGCTGTACTTTATAGTGGGGGACAGAACATGAGACAATACAGTAACCAAACAAAACACGAGGGGTCAAGGGCCCTGCTGTTTCGAGCTTACAATCTAGGATGAGCTTAATATAAGAAAAGAAAGTTGCCATCATAGATAGGTGCAA